TATTGCTCTAAGCACTGATTTACCCTCTCTGTTTGTCCATCCGTTTCAGGATGATAAGCAGTGCTAAAGAGGGTCTTAGTCCCTAAGAGCTTCATTAGTTCTCTCCAAAAGAGGCTGGTAAAGGTCTTGTCTCTGTCTGAAATAGCCATTTTAGGATGGCCATGAAGCTTATATATGTGATCCAAATATAATTTAGCCACCTCAGCTACTGAGTAAGGGTGTGATAGAGCTAAAAAGTGACTATATTTAGTAAACTTGTCAACCACCACAAGAATACAATTCTTCCTGAAAGATGTAGGCAAGCCTTCAACAAAATCCATAGTGATAACTTCCCAAGCTTGCTGAGGTATAGGTAATGGTTGTAGTAGTCCTGGTTTAGCAACATGTTCCACCTTAGTTTGTTGGCAGACGGCACAAAGTTTAACATAATTGACCACCATAGTTTTAAGTCTAGGCCAATAGAAGTAAGATTTAATTCTCTGATAAGTTGCTTGACTTCCAGAATGACCCCCATGAGGTGAGTCATGTAATGTCTGAAGAATCTGTAGTCTAAGAGATCCAACCTCCCCAATATAAACTCTATCCTTATATCTAAGGATTCCTTTTGAATATCTCCATTTATTATCAGCAGTAGCATGAACAGCCAATTTGGTGATCCAATCAGTAGCCAATAAATCTCCCTTATAACTAGCCTCCACCTCCTGCACCCAACTCGGAATAATTATAGTTGTGCCCATAACCAAACACTGTCCCTGATCCTCCCACTGTCTAGATAATGCATCTGCCACCACATTTGATTTCCCTTTTCTGTACTGTATAGTATAATCCAGCCCCAAAAGCTTGGTCAATCATCTCTTTTGAATTGTAGTGGTCAACTTCTGCTCCAAAAGATACTTTAGAGGTTCATGGTCAGTCTTAATGACAAAAGGATTACCCTCTAAGTAATGTCTCCATTTAGATATTGCTAATAGGATAGCCAAATATTCTCTTTCATAAATAGAAAGAGTAGCATTTCTTGGACTAAGGGCCTTACTCAAAAATGCTATAGGTCTGCCATTTTGAGATAAAACAGCACCTATACTCCTGAACTTGCATCTGTCTCCAAATAAAAATTCTGAGTAAAATTTGGAAGAGCCAAAACAGGAGCAGTGGACATGGCTCTTTTAAGATCTTCAAAAGCAGTCAAAGCAGTAGTCCACTTAAAATTGTCTGCTTTAAGCATTTGTGTTAGTGGCCTGCTTATAGCACCATAATCTTTAATAAATCTTCTATAATAGCCTGTTAATCCCAAAAATCCCCTTAAAGACTTCAAAGATTTAGGGAGAGGCCAATTCTTCATTGCTTCCACTTTACTGGGATCAGTAGCAACACCTGCTGCTGAAATAATATGTCTCAAGTATTCCACTTGGGTCTGTCCAAAAAAAACATTTAGAGAACTTTGCAAATAATTGATTAGCCTGTAACACCTCTAAAACTTGTTGTAAATGAGCAATATGAGCTGCCATAGAACTGATGTAAACTAAAATGTCATCAAAAAACACCAATACAAATTTTCTAAGGAATGAACTAAATAATTCATTCATTAATGCTTGAAAAGTAGCTGGGGCATTAGTAAGGCCAAAAGGCATCACCTTAAATTCATAGTGGCCTTGATGAGTTCTGAATGCAGTTTTGTGAATATCTGCATCCTTAATTCTGATTTGCCAATAACCTGATCTGAGGTCAATCTTTGAAAAGTACACAGCACCATGTAATTCATCTAATAAGTCCTCCACAACAGGAATAGGAAATTTATCCTTAATAGTCATGCTGTTTAATTGCCTGTAATCAACACAGAACCTCCAAGAGCCATCTTTCTTCTTAATTAGGAGGCATGGAGAAGCAAATGGACTCCTACTAGGCTGAATAATAGAAGAAGATAACATACTAGCAATTTGTCTTTCCACCTCAGCCTTCTGGTTGTGGGGAAATCTGTAGGGCCTGAGATTGACAGGAATTGAATCAGGTTTAAGGGGAATACCATGGTCCTGGTTTCTTACTGGTGGAAGACCTCTTGGCTCCTCAAAAACAGCCTTGTAGCTTTCTAGGAGAGATTGAATAGCTGCAGGAATAGGTTTAGAAGCTTCTGTCATAGATAATAATACCATATGCCCCAAAATAACAGAATCTGAAGCTGTCATTTTCAATAAAGAAGCTCCTGAAATTTGCTGCAAACATGAAGATGGTTGTTGACCATGTATAACAATTTGTCCATCTTGATGAACAAAACTGAGAGTCATTTTGTTGAAATCCATCAAAATTGGACTAAATAATTTCATCCAATCTACTCCCAATACCATATCACTCCCTCCCAACTGTAAAAGTCTGAAATCATGAACAAAAGAGTGTCCTTGCATTTGCCATCCAACTTTATTACACCTTGCTGTACTATATAGTTGTTGACCATTTGCCACTGTAATAGCCAAAGGGTAAGGTGTATTTACCTGTATACCAGCCTCAGCCCACTGTGGTGTTAAAAAACTGTGGGTACTACCACTGTCAATTAGAATATTCATTGGTTTGCCTAGGATACTGCCCTGAATTCTTAAGGTGTTATGACCAATACACCCAGTGATAGCATTCATAGATTTCTAGGCTCTCTTCCTCCTGTATAACTTGCTGTTCTGAATCAGTAGGTAGAGTATCTGAAGGCAGAATAATATCTTCTTCAATCATCATGTTCAATTGTTTTGCTTTACATTGATGGCCTGGAACAAATTTCTCACCACACTTAAAGCACAGATTATTTTGTCTTCTGTACTCTATTAAATTCTGTTTTGGTGGCAAGGTGGGTGAACTCTTTTGTGGAATTGGTAATTGAGTTGGTTTAGAAATAGGTAGGGAATTTGGGTAGGATGGGTTTCTAAAAGTTGTCCTCATTCTCTTACTTTCAAATTCAACAGACAATTCATACAGTTTAGCTTGCCTGTATGCTTCAGATAGTGTCTTAGGGTCTAGTGCCTTGACTCTATGTTTAATATCATCTCTTAATCCACTAAGAAATAGAGAGACAAAGAATTCCTCACCTAGTGTAGGATTCTGTAAGAGCATATGAGGCTGCAGTTCTTCAAATCTGTCCTGATACTCCTCCACAGATCCTTTCTGTACCAGCTTAGTAAACTCTTCCACTATATCAGCAAACGCCTTATCACAGAACCTATGACATAGGTCTGCCTCAAACTCATGCCATGTAACATGATGTTTTTGCATGATGTAGCCATCAAACCAAATTTCTGCTTTACCTGTTAAGTACATTGTAGCTATTTATACTCTTTGTTCCTCAACAATACTACATAATGAGAAGTACTTTAGGCATTTATGTATCCACCCTCTTGGATTACTACCCTAAAAAAAAAGTAACTCTATTTTAGGCCTGTGCATCATAATCCCTGAAGTATTACAAGACCCCCCTGTGCCTCTTCTATCCATATCTAAACCCACTGTATTGTTCTTAACAGCACTGTTCTCCCCCACTTGAATATCATCATTTTTGTAGTTGGTTATGTGAGTAGGCAACTCATTTGGCTTAGATTTTAGAATTACAGGCTCATCAGGTTTATAAGTAAACCTATTTTTGTCATTAACCACTGTAACCTGTACAGCATGCTTCCCATTCGTGTTAGATAAATTAGGGGTCTGTACATGTTCCTCATCAGGCTGATTTTGATCCCCTTTTCGGCCAGTCAAAATCTTCAAAAGCTCTTCCACGTACCCTTGATTTGTAGCCATTCTAGACTCCAAGGCAGTGATACGCTCCTCTTGATTCTCCCACCATTTAGGGGTCTTGGTTTCATCCTGAGTCTGCTTGACCAAAGCAGTCAATTCCTCTAATTGTTTCTGTAGTGCTGTAAAATCTGCTGATTCAGTCATGGTCTGGTTTTTCTTTGGCATTACAACTTCAATAGCCAGGAAAAATCAGGCTCTCGATACCAATTTGTTATGGATTGAGACTTAAGAGAAGAAATTATCGAAGATGAGGTTTTAGAAGAAGAAAGGAGATTACAGAAAATGAATATTCAGTCATTTCTTTTCATAATCATTCGTCTGTTTACATTGCCTTTATTTACATACAATCCTGATAGATTCTGTTATGCCAGCTGGACATCTCTCTAACCAATTCTGTTATGATAACAGGAATTGGGCTTCTGCTGGGCTTCCTTTGCTCCACCCGTATCTGCTGGACCAATTGCCCCCGTGCTCCTCACGTGCCTTGCTCCAAGGTAATTACTTCCCAATTATATCTCAATCCCTAACCCTTGATTATTCATTTCCCCCAATTCTCCTTCAATACTCTTCTTTCGTCCTCCATCTTCTCCCTCTCGTCTTCCCTCTCCAATCGTGACAGAACCTTCTTTTTTCTAATATCAAATCATTATAAATTCAGATGATTACACAGAATCAAATAAAATCATTTCGGTTAATCAAATGAAATTAGAAATTTTACAACTATTTCTTTTTGACTAACCTTGTAAAGTGACAAACCAATTAAGTCAAAATTACGATAAGATAGTCAAATTTCTTAAATTTTCATTTTAGTCTCTGTAATTTTACTTTCTTCTTAATTTAATCTTTAACCAAAATCATTAACAAAACTTTGCTAAATTCAACTTCAACTTTGAAGTCCCTAAATATTTTTTGCACCAATATTTTCTTTATTTTTTCCATTTCCACTAATTTTGCCACCACTTAACTATTGAAGACAAGGGGAGCAGGGTTTTAAACTGCAATTTTAATCACATTTTCAATAGTTGCATTTTGTTTATCTCGATTATAACAAGAAGAAATATTATTTCCACTAATTGTCGTTACCCCGATACCCGAACAAAAGTTATTTCGCATCAGACTTGAAATCAGTATCAAATCTCAAATCCAACAATAATCTTAAAACTTGAAAAAACTATTATAAATGGTAAAATTATAAAATGAAAAGAAAAAGCTTTTGTGATTTGATCGAAACCCTAAAATGTGAGATGGAATCAGTAGACGAAAAGGGGATTAAATTAGCCCTTCACCTGTGGGTACCATCCCTACGGTTGTCTGGCCGCTGCTTAATCTTTACTTCTTCCTTAAAAGAAGAAAGCAAAGATCAAGCCTTTTATTTCTGCACTGTCGTCAAGAAACAAAGCAATAGATTAAATTTGCTTTCTTTCATTGAAAAAAAAATCAACAAGTGCAAGCATTCGCAAAAGCCCAGAAATAAAAAAGAGATTTTTAAGCATTTTGAGAAGAAAAAAAAAACCCAGATTGAAAATGAGAAAAATAAAGTAGTAGAACGAAGGCTTTGAAGATGCATATTGATGTTTGTACTTGAAGTTGGGTTTATATAGTGTGATTGAGAGGCAAATTAGGGTTTTTTTTAAAATATGTATATTCATGATGGGTCTTGGACTGGGGTTAGGGTTTTCAAAGAGCCCATTGGTCCCCCAAGTGTTTCAGCTTAAAAAGTCCATCCTTGAATATAGGTATTTGAATTTTAGGTTTATATATATAAGTGAGATTTTAGGTTTTTAATTTTTTAATGAATTGCAGTTATGTATTCCAACCAAAAGAATAAAAGAACCTATAAAAAAAGTCAACTCACTAATTCTCTATACAAGTAAATCCCAATTATCACATATAGCACTATACCTAAGTAACTGTCTTACTTTACCTCAAGTTTCAGCCTAATAACCTCCTGAACCTGCTTAAAGACCACCTCCACTGTGGATTCAGTCTGGTCAAACACTTTCATATTCCTTTCTTTCCAAAGCATGTAAAGGCAATAAAATCCGTCCCTCTCCTAAAACTTTTAAATTCTCTTATATTTTAAATTTTTTAGTATTTTCTATTGATAATATGTTTTCACCACTAAAATTTCATAAATTCATCTCCCTTAAATTTATAAGTTCGTTCCTTTTAGCATAAAATCATACATTTTTCATCGAATATCATATTATTAACCGATCAAAAAACAAGACTAAAATTATATGTTAATGACTAGAAATTTTTTAATACTATCATAATAATTAAAATTTTATTTATAAATTTATAACCAATAATAAAAATATTTTTCTTTTGTACTTTGTATGGATGTCCTGTGCAACTAATGAATTGAGGACTTGTATCTTAGAAGATTTAAGTGGTATTAGAGTGATTTTATGCTACGATTGTTTGAGTTTGTACAATCAATTCTCAGAACAACTACTGGATTAGACAACTTGCATAGATTGATAGACGGGGAAGACAAAGTTAATTGGAGGGTGAATACATAATGGTTAGCAGTGTGAGTTGAAAGGTATGATGAAGAAGTCCATGAAGATTGTCTGCTAGATCTGAGACTGAGTACATGAAGAATATTGTTAAATATGCGATAAAATCAAGATCCTAGCCTTTCTCAATCATTTGATATATTTACTTTTTGGTCCCTGTATTTTGTATTTATCATTTTTCGCATAACTATTTGATATTTAACTCCATTTTTATTTTTACAATTTAATCTTAGTGTGTGTCTTTATTTGTTATTTAATTAATTTGTAGTACTATTTATTATTATTTTTGTTAATACTTTTTATGTCATTTATTTCAAAAACGTGCATATGAATTTTGTTCATTGTTATTTTGATAGTATAATTAATGGCTAGTGTCCAAAGTAATTGCATTGTGATCATGTTAATTATTCGTAATAGAATGACATTTAAAAAAATGAGTGATTTTTTTATTAAGTTTATGTAAATATTTTGTTTTCAAATAAGTTCACTATTTTAGTTAAATTTGCATTCAAATTTTAATTCATGGGATTATAAGATTAAATTTAAAGTTATATTTTTAATTTTTCAAAACTCGAGATATTATATGATTTTAATAATATGCTAATTTTTTTTACGGTATGAGGTGTTTTGACATTCTCTATGCATAACTAACTCTCGAATCTAATTTTTATTATAATTTTAAACGCATATGAAGAAATAAAATGAAGGTGCAAGAGTAATTCAGAAAATGAAGAAAGAAACAACTTGAATTTGCCTCCAACATCCTTAAAATGCTTACATAATCTAAAATTCGATTAATTATCAACTAATTCGGATCAAATATTTCAAAAACCTATTATAAGAAATATCTCTCCCAACTCAGTTTCTCCCTTCATAATGTAAATATTCAAACAATGAAATCACAAATTACAAAACAGATTGCACAAACTAGAAATTGCTTTGCCTCCAACCACCATACTCTTCTTCTTCTTCAGTTCCTTCAACCTGTGTTACAATCCAACAAAAGAAACCCAAAATTAATACTATATTATGTTACTCGAACACTTCGTTTTTCGTTTATATATATATTTATATTCGAAACACATCTAAAACAGGAATAATAGAGTTATATGTACCTTTCTGGTGAAAGTAACACCAACTGTAATATCTACACAGTAACTATTTTCTGCATTAACTACACTTTGTTTAGTAGGATGAATTTCAGCATTTCCTTTCTCTGCTCCAATTGCCAACAAATCCTTCACATATATCCTGCAAACACGCCAAAGTCATTTTAAGACGAAGAAAAGAGTTACGAATATCGAGATTCAATCTTACAAACATCTTAAAAAGGAGACTTCCATGAACTAAATGGACCATGTCTCGGATTCAACTACTCTTTTCTTTTCAAACAAAACATTGAGATTGTCCAGACCCGTCACTGAAATAGTAAAGTGTATTTGGAGTTGGGATTAATGTCTTATGAACCATCAAATTATGTTATTCGAATTATTCATTTTTCTTGTAGTGATTATATATGACGCATTGACATTAAATACATGAAAAAAATTCGGGAAAAATCATGATTTTATCTTACGTGGCTTGGCCAACGTAATCGTCGGAAGAGAAGGTGTCCTTGTCCATGATTTTGAGAACGACCTTGTAGCCATCACCTGATCCTGGATACTCCACCTTAAATGTAAATTTTTCATTCCATGATGGACTAGAGCCACCACCTGCACAGAAATTTTCGTTTTTTTAAGTACGAGAGTCCGACATATATTAAGACATGACTACGAAGATATAACTCTCGAAATAAGCATTCTTGTTTTAAATCTATACTTTATTATATATTTACATTCGAATTCAAATAACATAATTAAATTCTAAAATGTATATTTGTAAGTTCAAAAGCATGTTAATGGTTAAAGACGGACTGTAATTTAACCTGACCTACTAAACTAATCCCCATGTGTTATTTCACCAGAAAATTCATCAATCCAATGCAACACTCCTTTTCTATTTATATATATTTATTTTCCTTGTTCTTGAAGAAAGACATATAAATGTTTAATTATGATTAATTTTCTAAATTAAACTACCTGACCCATATTTTATTTATTTGAAGTGCCTATGTCAGGTATCTTAACATGAATATAAAAATATACTATTTTTTAAAGGGTATAGTATACAATTGGTCTCCCGACTATAGGATATTATTTATTAAGTCTCTTGATTATTAAAAATTATAAAATGATCCTATGATTCTATGGCGTTGTTTTGTTGAGTTCCCAACTAATAAAAGTTATAAAAATGTCATTCGACTATTCATATATATGTTCTAAACTCATCATTTTCTGTTAAAAATTGATGGTTGTCTGAGTTGAACGTTGACATGCTGACTAAGATAATGATAAAATCATAGTTTAATGATATTTATTGGCATTACCATTACTTTCAAACAGTGGCTCGACAATATAATATTTCAAGTATTGACTCGATGATAAAATGTAAACAAAGAGTTCATCCATAAAATACAGCTCAAATGATTATGGAGTCAGATTTTATCATATCCCAATAAGCAAGTTTGAAGTCTAGCCCAAAAAGACGTCAATTTTTTAACAAAAAAAGACGAGTTTAAAACATACGAATAATCAGGTGACTATTTTGTAACTTTTAATAGTCAGGAGACTCAACAAAGCTACATCTTATAGTCGAAGGATCATTTTATAACTTATAATAGTTAGATGACTCAATAAAACAACAAGCTATAATCGATGGACTATTTTTGTAATTTATCCTTTTACTATACGGGTCGCTTGATGTTTTCAAGTATATAATTATTTAAATATTGATTAAATACATGTTCATCGAATTATATACAAGTTATAGGTTTAAAATAGAGAGTAGAAAAGGGAAATAGACTTTAATAACCTCTGGCCACTCTGCTCTTGTGCTCTTGACCTTTGTATTCAATTATAACATATGGATCCATATCTCCTACCAATCAAAAGACAAGAAAAAAATTAGAAAAAAAATGAATCTCTAGCTTAAAATCCAACACCATTGTTCTATAAACATCTATTGTGCAAGATATTTTTACCGTATTCACGATACTCTAATCAAATAAAAAAAGATGAATTATTAAAATTTATTACACTTAACTTTCTTGTTGAATATGAACACGAATGAACTCGGATTTCAACATTGCAGAAAGTAAAATTCATATATATATATATATAGCTACCCAGAAACGAGTTCTCTTAGTTTGATTTATCAAGCATAGAACTTCCACAATAAAAGATCAATTTCTGCATCTTATATTTCATGTTTTTCCCAATTAAAAATCAGTTTAAAACATGATGAAACCTGGAAAAAAATCTGGGTTTGGGGCAAGGAAATGAACAAAACAAGAAGTTTAAAATAAAATCTGATCAATCAAAAAGATGAAAAAACAAAGGAAACCTGAGAAATTAGATTACATACCCAGAAAATCCGAGTCCTCAAGGCCTTTAGCATTAACCAATAACACTTCCAGTATTCCAACAGCCATCCTTGAATTTGATATTTTCCTTCTTTCTTTTTCTCGCCGAGATTCTTTGAATGGAAATTGTTTGGACCCTTTGAATTCTTAGGTTCTTTATATAGAAGAAATGTAAAGGAGTTGGCATGGCGACTTCACACCAAATACGTGACGGCTGACGAGGAAACTGCCCAGAATGTTATAATATTTTCCTTTTTACTTTTTGGATATTATTTTAATAAAAACTTTTTAATTATTTTAATAATTTATACATTAAACCAATCGTGAATCAAATCACCTTAGAAGTTCCCCTTAGAAGTTCCCTTGAGATTTTGAATTCGAACACCGTATATGTAGGAATATGAATATTTATTATAAAACGGTTGAGAGTTTTTGAAAATTTATTTAATTACTTAAATATTTTAGGTGAATATAAATGTTTAACATTTTCGACGTAGTTAATTTAAGTATTTAACAATTATTCATGATAGGATTTAATCTAAAAAGTAAAAACAACATAATTCAGAAATCAAATCTAAAATCTTAAAGTTCTCGTGATCTCAATGTTATCATTAAACCAATATAATTCATAATAAACCTACCACCTCAAATTATATATTTTTTCTTTCATTATATTTATCTTTTAAAATTTAATATTTATATTGAAATTAGTAATATACTTACTATCTAAGTGATACTCACGTTATATTCATAATAAAAGAAAATTAAATATGAATTTTAGAAATGATGTTATAGACACTAATTTTAGATAATTATTTGTTTTGAACATACATTTTAAAAAACAAATTTTAATTTTAAAATTTAAATTGCCTTTCTGGGTTTTTTTTTCATCATCATTGTCCTTCATGTGCATGATTTATTGTAAGATATGCTTTAACTTTTGGGCCAAGTTGCCATTTCGATAAACATAATTTCCATGTTTGGTTTGATTTTAAACTGGCTTTCGCCTCTCTCTTTTTACCAGGGATGCTAAGGAATTCATTATGTACAAATGTCAATAAGAATATATATTTAGCTATAATAAAAATATGGGTAAATTCTAAATTTCATCATTCAAGTTTTTTTATTCCTATTTTAAACATTAAAATTAAAAAAGTTTAATTTATTTATTGAACTTTTGATTTGTTCCATTTTGGCCTCTTAGGCGTTCAATAAAAAAATGAAATGGTGACATGACAAATATTAATATCTCACACAAGTGATACAATTATTATTCTCCGGCATCTTTTTCAATCATTCAAGATATCAACAAATTCGTCTCACTGTCTCATATCACTCTATCAATTTAGGTTTTACCTAAATTAAAACCCACAAAATTCAATCATAAACTCAAAACTCTAAACCATTTTGGTAGCATCATCCCTCAATCAATCTAGAATTAAGATATATAACTCGCTTATTACTTCTTTACCGTTGAAATTCAGGAAAAACATGTTTCATCATCAATAAATCAAAGAGAATTCGAAGCTAAGAAAATTGAAAAAAAAGAGAAGAAGAAAATTTCAAGACCATTTCATAATTTTTTTAAAGAAAATTTCCAATTATAACATCATTATGTATTAGAAACGAAATAACTAAAATAAGAACAAGTCAATAGTTAAGCAAATTAAATTTTTTAAAACTTTAATAAAATGTTAAAATGTATAATTTACCCTAAAATATGTTTAGACTTATTAGTTAAACTAACCTAATCAATTTGGATTGAATTGTCCAATTACTTCAATTAGAGTCGATTCAGGTTATTCAATTTTAGGCTGACACTCTTGAATTATAAGTGTTTTGAATATTAGAGTCATTCCTGGTTTGAGACTTAAGATTTTTAGATGAAAACATCACATTTAAATCATTTCGGATTTGTGTCATTTCGGATTCATGTCATTTCAAGTTCTGAATTCGAATTATTCAGGTTCAAACTAATTTGAAACGATTGTTATACACATACTATCGAGCCCGAATAACATAGATTCGAACTCTATATCGTGGAATCAGATTGCTAAGCGAAAAATTTCTGCAACTCAACTCTGATCATTTACAAAGATTCTTGCAACAGATATCACAATCTCAAATATTGAAATTAGATTTCATACTTCTGTCAACACGGGACAATAGAGGAGCCGAAAAAACTCGAACTCGAATGTCATTGTTTCATCACAGTATTCTGATATAACAAACGATGAAAGCAAGCCACAGATTTAGAGTTCCACTCAAAATGATAGACACCACACAAGTCTAATTACTATCGAATCCATCACCTGATATGAACCCAAAGGCTAAAGTTTTACTACTTATCTGCTATGTCTGCGTAAAGGTCAGCAGATCTCGATCTGGATCCGGACGGAGACCTTGATGATCTAACTCTACCTGGAGATGGCCCCCATCCAGCCCGTGGGTCCTCAGGAGGTTCATATGAGGATTTCCTCCTATAAATGGAATATTCGAAAACCGAAACAAGCCACATGAGTCAAGTTAAACATACAAAAAAATCAGTAACAATGAACTCTCATCATACAAGAATTTTGAGAGCCTAAAGCTGCATAGAAGTATGGGTTCTCCATGCAGATAAAGCGGTCGTACTTGTGCCGATAACAGGTCACTTCTTTATGACACACCTACATGGGTTACGGTGAAGGACGGAGCTAAGAAAGTTGAAACAATGAAATAGACTTCCACTTACTCGCCATAACCATTTCTCTTGGCATTTTCATATCCAGGAGAATATGATCTGTGATTGTAATCACCATCTCGTTCCTGTGGAGGACCTCTTGGAGATCTTGGATGTTCTTCATGCCTTCTACCTGGTGAAACAGATTAATTTCCTCGACGTCTTGGGGCGGGGGAGTATGACCTGACAGATTAATATGTAATCACCTTATTACCTAACAAGTAAAAGGATATGATAGCAATTTGACTGTTTACCTTGAGCGGTAGCGACCTCTAGAACCTGAAAGGTGGTGAGGAGAGTGCATAGGGGATAGAGGACGAGACCTAGAACGTCCTGTCACATCAAATAAGAATTAGTTTACAAGTAGTCAATTTCAGATTACATAGTGGAAAAGAACAAAGGATTTTTTTTGTATAGATACAAAACAGACTACAGGTTTCATGACACCTCAGTTTTCTTTAAGCATCGGAGTCCTCTTTTAGGACCCTCCAAATAAACTGAAAACTTAGAACTGAACATATTGGACACATTCCCATGTCCAACACTCACACACGAGCTTGAGTAAGTTAGGAAAAACATACCACAATAAGATGATCGTCCCCCATAGCCAGATGGTCCTCTGGAAAATTACATGCCAGATAAATCCTTACGTAAATACAAGTAAAATAACTGGAAAATTTATGTACACGAATGTTTGTAAGATATAGAGACTAAGAAAATACCTAAGTCTAGCCTTGTGGTGCATCTCCTCAGGCCTTTTCCTCGTCTCTTCAGCTACAACAACCGATATCTCTCTCCCACCAAATATTTTCCCGTTCATGTGTCGTTGAGCTTCGGCAGCACCATAAGAATCCACAAACTGCACAAATGCAAACCCTCGAGGTTCTCTGCAGATAGGATACACACCAATCCTTCATTTAAACAAGCAAGTTCGCAATGGACAAAATAAGCTGACATGAGAAAGTTAAAAAAAACAAAACAAAACAAAACAAGAATACCATGTTACTAGGACAAGTCCATTACTTTGTATATAGCTTTACATATCCAATATTGGCTCCAGAAGACAACCACAAACGTGGCCAGAATTTAAATAAAAATTTGCTAAGTGCTTACCTTTTTCCCTTAATAGAAAATATCAAAGGAACTTCAAAAGAAGCAAGTGACTTGAAAAATCTTCCCATACTTGTAAATATAAGAAGCACTTGATATCGACAATTTCCTTCAATTGGGTCAGGAATCAATCTTCTTCCTCATCAAAACCTGTATTGATTTGTGAATTTATATAGTTTCGCTTCATAAAGGAACATTCTTCACATGATCATTACTCTTAACACCCCGGATCACAATATGTTAAGCAATCATAAACAATAGTCCATCATCAAATGTGGGGCTTGGGCTTGTTTTTACTTCAAAACAATACACCCGCCCTGACAAACCAGTTCAAATTGTAATTCACTACGGAAAAGGAAAACAAATTAAGTGCTTTAAGAACTAGAGCGGAAAGCAACTTGAAGGAAATAACTTCCTACATGCGACAACTAAAGGGCTAAGAAGAGAAAACAAAAAAGGAAGCAGCACATAGCATGTTGCAAAAGTTAATCAAACCAATCAAGCTTGCTTTGCAATAACCCAAAAAAGAAGAATAAAAAGACTTATCAATTGCTCATTCAACATAAAAATAAACTCTTTTCAAACATATGACAACTTTTAGCCACATATATGTTTAACTAGACTGACCAAACAAACTTTGGCTCAGACAAAGAACGGGAAGCTCATGCTCGATACACATAAAACTAAAACAACTTAGACATGCATGAGATAAAAAGTATAACCTTCCATTAAAACATAGTAGAACAATACCGACCCTGTATAGTAGTCTTTGGGAATATAAACATCCCTAACAGGCCCAAATCTCACAAAAGAGATTCGAAGTTCTTCAGGCCTGCAAACATAATCAAACATATAATAAAACAAATCATTTAACCAGCCAGCATTTAGATAGTAATAATAATAAAAAGGATCAAGACAAAAGGGCTACCTGCAATCTAAGGGAATGTTTCTAACCAAAAGGCTCCCCTGATTCTGCTCCCTCCTTCTTCCATAACCGCCACCACACCACCATATCCCCTCCTAGGAGGACTTCTTTCTCTACCTCCATAAGCTCTCCTGGGGGGACTATAGTATTGTGGACTGTATCTCCTCATCCCCAAAACCTTTTGAAAACACAAACCATTAAACTAGATTTACATATATTTCAAAAGAAGCAAATAATTTGTTTTCCTTTTTCCAAATAAGGTTTATCTAATTCAAGCGATGCAATACCCATTAAACATATCCATGAAAAACGATAAAATTACTTAATTCATAAAATACCCAATAAAAAACCTTTCATAATTATGAAAAAAAGATAAAGATTCAAACGAATATACTCAGATTCTCTGTTTGGATCATGAGAAAATTAAAGAACAAAAAAGTTATTTGAGCATTGACTTAGTTGACATAAACTATACTCTGAAAAATCAAATATATATATATATATATATATAAAACAAAAAATAACAAGAAAATGTCCAAAAATTATTGAATTTGGAAGAACGTAGATTTTACCTGGAAGACAGATTTTGAAACAGCGACGGAAAAGAAAAGAAAGGTTTATATCGGGAGTTTTGAGATCCCATGTACCAGTACAATGTTAATGCTTTATTTTTGGTTGGCATTGTTGGGCCTAGACGGCCCATTTTTTGTGCCATTTTTTTCTATATCTAACAATTAGATTTAATATATTTAATCATTATTATTTTATAATAAACTTTAAATTAAATTTATAATAAATTAAATTTTTTTTTATGTTAACAATTTTCTTATTAAAATAATTACAATAATCATATCTCCTTCCTAGAAGTCAAATAAGATTACTCTTTACTGATATCACTTTGTGTTAAATAGCATGTTAACAAATACTCAATCGATTGACAAAAATAATCATGCTCTTGATCTTATTTTTTTAATATAAACAAAGTAACCCTATTTCATTCAATATAAATAAAATTGTGTTTATGACGAATTTAGATTATCCCACGTTGCACACCTAATTTTTATGGGTGAGTGTCCAAACAAAAATTTTCTACAAGTACAAGGATTTAAACTCCAGACATATTTAAACGATATCAAACTACTTACCGCTTGAATCAATCCCGTTGGTAACTACTATAATCTTTGACAATTCAAAATCAACTTTCCATGAGAATTTTAAATTAAAAATATTTTTGAATTATTTTACTAAAAATATATCGTGATTGCACTATTTTAGCTAACACAAAATTCATAAACAAGATTCATATAAATTTTAGCATACTATTTTAAATAAAGGCTTGTCGTACATAAAACTTGTCTAATTATTCAAAAAATATTATTGAAATAAATAAGCTACAAGTTCAGGACATTGCAGTGACATGCTGAATTTCCATTAATTAGGAAAGGAACAATACACATGATTTATTTATAAAGTAACCAACTTAAGATTATAACAACTGGAATAACAAAAAGAAGCATTTCACAAAATGATTAACGAAGAAATTCAGCTTGAAATGATAGCCCTAAGGCTTCAGTGAATAGGTTCAGACTTCCTTTTTCTCAAGGAAAACAGAAGAAATCACATTCTTGGACTGCATCGATGCCCTAAGCAATTCCACTCCCTATTGCACAAACAAAACAATGTTAAATCAAGAATGGAGTGCACAAATAATCCTTTTTCTTGTCTTATTTTACCTCATTAACTCCCACAGCAACGACTTTCTCTTCAAGATAACCCACATCCTTAACGTTGAACTCGTTGAGCAAAGTAAAAATTGACCTGGCACATATAGGCGTCACCGTCAGATCATCCATTATCATGTATACACCTTCCTCAACGAAACCTCTTTCGACGCCACCCGAATACGGAGCTTCATTTGTCGGATTCACAAACGTTAGATTTTGGTGCATACTACCAAATCCGTTGTTATTATGACTGTTGGAAAGACAGCGGGAATAACATTCAAATGTCACATTCATGCAACTGCGGCTGGCACACTTGTAGAGTCTCGTGTGTGTTGAGGATTGCAAGCTTGGCAGCAAGAAGTCTACATTAGCAGCATAGTTTGTCAAAATTGGCCTCAAAAGCATATCCTTTTCTGGGGCTGACTGAAAGTAGGAATCGTCCAAATTTTCTATGCTGCCGTAAATGTTTCCGATACACCCCACCGTTGCTTGTTTACCGAGTAGCCTTGTCACAGTGCCGACCGGTAATGACATGATGTAGAAGAGAAAATCAACGAAATCTTTGCCTGCTTCCGCAAACAAAAGCCTGTTGGATTTTGGGTCTATCATCAGCTTCAGGCTAACAGTGGCGGGACTGGTGCTAGCCATAAGAATTTCCATAGAGAGACTGCCTTGACAATTTGGGAAGAGACTATGCTTTATATAGAGCATAGTTTTGCAGTAACCAAGGGCCATAGAGAAGTGGAATGGCTAAAGATACTCAAGGGACATGAGTTTCCAATGGTGTATTTATATAAGTGGCACAATCTCCAATTTAGAACGCTTTGGTTCTTCAATATTCAACGTTTTGAAACATCAACTAATAACTACAAGAGTCACTTCTAATGTTCATATTGGCTTGATTAAAAAAAAATTAGTAGTCTAGGTGATTAGATTGTAGTATATGTTTAAAATTTTCTTAACCAATTGACAATGCACACACACACTCTCTACGGACGCACTTGCTCGAAGACAAGACCTCTGAAGAAAATAACATTTTCTTTTACAATTAAGGTCACTTGATGAGTTAAAGAAAGTTAATTAACTTGCAACAAAATTTTGTAGGCACTTGGACACGTGAAATAATGATGATTTTTTAGACGCCACACATTGTGATAAAGAGCAGCAGCCGTGTGTAAGGGGATGGAAAGAATGGTATGTGCAATGTGATGCGAGATCAAGGCATGGACCAAACCTGTACGCCATGAATCTATATAAGAATCAATGAGTCCGGGCACAAATGTTATCCGCTCAAAATCCAAACAAATCTGTAACAACTCAAGTGGTAAATAATGTGGCACCCAATATTCAGAGAAGACTGAAATAGTAGTGTCATCGTCAATTTATGCTTGGAGCCCAAATCTTTTGTCCCCAAAATGTTGTGCCAAGAAAAGGAGGGGCCTGATCCCAAGCAAGAGGTAAGAAAATTGGCATCTGGATAGTACTTGGCACGAACCACACGAGACACCAGTAACGAAGAATTACGTAGGAGTTGCACTCTTGCTTACAAAGAAAAGTTTGAATGAATAATTCAATATCTCGAATACCCTCACTACCGGCGAGCAAGGATGACGAAGAATGGGTTTTAGTTTGATCATTAGTGACCAGTCTTTATGTAAGCGGTTAGCATTCCAGCACAACTTTCCATCACTATTAGTTGTTAACGTCAAGTGACCATTTTGTTACAAATCAATAACATTAATAATCAATTTGTAACTTTTGATTATTAAAACTTTAGTGACCATTCATATAATTTACCCTTAATTGTTTTTAAGTTTTTGAGCAAAATAAGAATGGGAAGAAAACTAAATGATGAACTTTGTCCTATATTTAAATTATTGTAAATTTATGAAATTTTTTTCTTTTCATTGGGAATGAGGTATCGGTGGAAATTAACATTGAATGTTGTTTTAACCTCTCATTATAAGATGTGATTTAGATTTTTGTTACTTTTTTAGGATAATATAAAATTAACATAAACAAATTCTTTCAAGAACTAGAACCTGCGATTGATAGTACCATCAACAATAGCTAGAACAAAATCTTCAACTACATACAACAATCAAATTATAATAATTGCAAGAACAAAAAGAACCATTTCACAATATGCTACTATGATTTCAAGGTTTAAATTTATAAAACAAACAAGTTCAGCTTCTAAGACTTCAATGAAGTGGTTCAGACTTCACAGATGATTCCTTCTTCACAAGGAAAACAGAAGAAAGCACAGTCTTGGTCTGCATCGATGCCTTAAGCAATTCCACTCCCTATTGCACAAACAAAACAACGTTCAATCAAGCCAATGTCATATAAGTATACAGTGAGACAATTAAGTATTATTTTACCTCGTTAACTCCTACAGCAATGACTTTCTCTTCAAGATCACTCACATCCTTAACGTTGAACTCTTTGAGCAAAGTGATAATCGTTGTACCAGACACAGACGTGACTGTCAGATCATCCATTATCATGTAAGCTACTCCTCCCTTGACAAAACCTCCATCGGCATCGCCACCTGAGTACGGAACTCCGTTTGTCGGGTTCACAAACGTTAGTTTTTGGTACATACTACCATGAGTACTGTTGGAAAGACAGCGGGAATTATATTCAAATGTCACATTCATGCAACGGCGGCTGGCACACTTGTAGAGATTCGTGTGTGTTGAGGATTGCATGCTTGGCAGCAAGAAGGCTACATTTGCAGCATAGTTTGTCAACATTGGCCTCAAAAGCATATCCTTTTCTGGGGCTGACAGAAAGTAGGAATCGTCCAAATTTTCGATGCTGCCGTAAATGTTTCCGATGCACCCCACCGTTGCTTGTTTACCGAGTAGCCTTGTCACAGTGCCGACAGGTAATGACATGATGTAGAAGAGAAAATCAACGAAATCTTTGCCTGCTTCCGCAAACAAAAGCCTGTTGGATTTTGGGTCTATCATCAGCTTCAGGCTAACAGTGGCGGCACTGGGACTGGTGCTAGCCATAAGAATTTCCATAGAGAGACTGCCTTGACAATTTGGGAAGAGACTACGCTTTATATGGAGCAGAGTTTTGCAGTAACCAAGGGCCATAGAGAAGTGGAATGGCTAAAGCCCGTATGAGATATTCAAGGGACATGAGTTTCCAATGTTGTATTTATATAGGTGGCACAATCTCCAATTTAGAACGCTTTGGTTCTTCAATATTCAACGTTTTGAAACATCACCTAGTAACTGCAAGACTCACTTCTAATGTTCATATTGGCTTGAATAAAAAAAGTTTTTTTAATAGTCTAGGTGATTAGAACATAGTATTTGTTTAAAAAAAATTTAACCAATTAATACGCACACACACTCTATGGACCCACTTGCTCGAATACATGACCTCTCAAGAAAATAACATTTTCTTTTACCATTAAGGTCACTTGATGAGTTAAAGAAAATTAATTAACTTGCAACAAAATTTTGTAGGCACTTGGAAACGTGAAATAATGATGATTTTTCAGACGCCACACATTGTGATACAGAGCAGCAGCCGTGTGTAAGGGGATGGAAAGAATGGTATGTGCAATGTGATGCGAGAACAAGGCATGGACCAAACCTGTACGCCATGAATATATATAAGAATCAATGAGTCCGGGCACAAATGTTATCCGGCTCAGGATCCAAACAAGTCTGTAACAACTCAAGTGGTAAATAATGTGACACCAAATATTCAGAAAAGACTGAAATAGTAGTGTCATCGTCAATTTATGCTTGGAGCCCAAATCTTGTCCCCAAAATGTTGTGCCAAGAAGAGGATGGGACTGTTCCCAAGCAAGAGGTAAGAAAATTGGCATCTGGATAGTACTTGGCACGAACCACACGAGACACCAGTAACGAAGAATTACGTAGGAGATGTCACCCTTCCTTACAAAGAAAAGTTTGATTGAATAAATCAAGATCTCGGATACCCTCACTAACGCGAGCAAGGATGACGAAGAATGGGTTTTAGTTTGACCATTAGTGACCAGTCTTTATGTAAGTGGTTAGCATTCCAGCAAAACTTTCCATCACTAGCAACTGTTAACGTAAAGTGATCATTTTGTTACAAATCAATAACATTAATAATCAATTTGTAAGTTTTGAAAGTTTAGTGAGAAAAACAAAACTTATTAATACTTTAGTGACCAATCATGTAATTTACCCTAATTGTTTTTAATTTTTTGAGCAAAATAAGAATGGGAATGAGGTATTGGTGGAAATTAACATTGAATGTTGTTTTAACTTCTCATTATAATTAAGATGCGATTTAGATTTTTGTTACTTTTTTAGGATAATATAAAAGTAGCATAAACAAATTCTGTCAATAACTAGAACCTGCGATTGATAGTACCATCAACAATAGCTAGAACAAAATCTTCAACTACATAACAATCAAATTATAATAATTGCAAGAACAAAAAGAACCATTTCACAATATGATACTATGATTTCAAGGTTTAAATTTGTAAAACAAACAAGTTCAGCTTCTAAGACTTCAATGAAGTGGTTCAGACTTCACAGATGATTCCTTCTTCACAAGGAAAACAGAAGAAAGCGCAGTCTTGGTCTGCATCGATGCCCTAAGCAATTCCACTCCCTATTGCACAAACAAAACAACGTTCAATCAAGCCAATGTCATATAAGTATACAGTGAGACAATTAAGTATTAATTTACCTCGTTAACTCCTACAGCAATGACTTTCTCTTCAAGATCACTCACATCCTTAACGTTGAACTCATTGAGCAAAGTGATAATCGTTGTACCAGACATAGACGTGACTGTCAGATCATCCATTATCATGTAAACTACTCCTCCCTTAACAAAACCTCCATCGGCATCACCACCTGAGTACAGAGCTCCGTTTGTCAGGTTCACAAACGTTAGTTTTTGGCACATACTACCATGAGTACTGTTATTACTAAAACGTTCCGGACAACAGGAAAAACATTTAATGGTCACACTCATGCAACGGCGGCTGCCACACTTGTATAGGTTGGTGTGTGTTGAGGATTGTATGCTTGGCAGCAAGAAAGCTACATTAGCAGCATAATTTGTCAACATTGGCTTCAAGAGCATATCCTTCTTGGGTGCTGACAGAAAGTGGGAATCGCCCAAATTTTCGATGCTGCTGTAAATGTTTCCGATGCACCCCACCGTTGCTTGTTTACCGAGTAGCCTTACCACGGTGCCGATGGGTAATGACATGATGTAGAAGAGAAAATCAACGAAATCTTTGCCTGCTTCTGCAAACAAAAGCCTGTTTGATTTTGGGTCTATCATGAGCTTCAAACTAACAGTGTTGGGACTGCGGCTGGTGGTGGTAGCCATATGACTTTCCATGAAGAGTCTGCCTTGAAAATTTAGGAAGAGATTATGCTTTATATAGAGATGCGGAATGGCTAAAGCCCGTTTGAGATTTTCTAAGGGACATGACTTTCCAGTGGTGTATTTATAAGTGGCACAATCTCCAATTTATAACGCTTTGGTTCTTCAATATTCAACGGTTTGAAACATCAACCAATAACTACAAGACTCTCTCGCTTCGAATATTCATATTGGCTTGATAATTTATAACTGTGTTGCGTGCATTGTTAGGGATGCTATAGCGCGATTGGATCATTCAAATCCGTCCCATGAGATGAGAATTTCATATGATTTACGTTATTTATTTATTTTTTGTTGATGATTTCACCCTTAAAATTTTATATCATGCATCCTTTCCTGATCGAATAGTCTCGTGTAAAACTCTACTTTCTTCCCTTTGCAAGCCGATAAAGAATAGGATACCCACTTTAGCTTAGCTTAGCTTCAACGAAGTGGAAACAACAGTCCTCTGGAGACTACCTGAAACAATTATTCCCCTCTTGCATGAGGATGTCACCTTAGCTTAGATCAGTAGTTTAAGTTTTTCGTTATTTACCAAAAATATCTTCTTGTTCTGGAGTTTTTTAAACTCTTAAACTAAGATCCTCGATGACTCTTCCTCATACGACATATCATTACGCATCTTAATAACTCTTATAGAATAACGTGAAAAAGATTCGGTTGATACCGATAAATATCGAGACATGAAATACATTATGAATACAACTATGACAAATTTAAACTACTAACTAAAAGCAAATGGAAAGATGAACCAATTTAAAGTAATAGATGAAAGCAATTTTAGAATATAAATTTCATCATGGAAAATTTCATTTGAAATTTGTACATATTGCATATGCGTTTTTTATTTAAAATGTTATATATTACATTCACAACTATGACAAATTTAAACTACTAGTTAAAAGCAAATGGAAAGATGAACCAACTTAAACTAATAGTTAAAAGCAGTTTTAGAATATAAATTTCGTCATGAAAAATTTCATTTGAAATTTGTGCATATTGTATCTGCGTTTTTTATTTAAAATGTTATATTACAATCATATGTACTATATATATATATATATATATATATAAGAAACTTGTAATTTATTTGTTCAAAAATTGAATTATATGTTAAACAGTCCGTAACAATTTGATATGTATGGATCAAAGTGATTCACATTATAAACTTTAATTTGTAAAATTAATTAATATTAATACAAAATTACTATTTTATAGCATCATATGTTCTCGTATAGTTGATCAGATCCGTGGGGAATTTTGGATAATAAAGTTAAAAAAATTGGATATGCTAATTTGGTAAATCTAAATCGTGCGAATAGCATAGTAGTAGTTAAGATTTGAATCGTAACTTAATTCTAGATTATGTAAATTCTCCTCCGCTAGTGTTCTAGAATATTATAGAAGATGTTGGAACATCATAAAAAGACATAGAACTATGAAAAAGATTTTAAAATAATAAGAAGACTCGTGGAAGATTTTAAAAGTTTATAGAGAATTTTTTAGGCCTAAATTATACTACATTCATATAGAAAGTTCTAGATATACAATTTAGACTGTAGGGTCAACTTAATATCCATCGTCCATTGAGAAGGTGAAAGGCTATATAAAAGAATTTTGGCCATTTGCTAAAGACATTCATCCATCTATTGAAGCAAATTTTGTAAAACATTCTCCAAAAGTAATAAAACATATTTATTTGCCTTATTTTCCTCTTTGCGTAGCTTCTATCAAATGCATCTTTGAAAGTTTTCGGATGACACAATCACTAAAAAGAAAGTGTCTAAGTGCCGCATGAGACAATATACACTATAATATTTAAATTATATTTACACTTATTAATACTATAATATTTAAAATATATCAACTTAAACTATAATAAAATATAAAAATACTTTATGATAACTCATTAATAATATTTTTATATATTAAATATTTTATTAACAAACATATGTTATCAATATATCTTAACATATGGACTTAAAATTAGTACGAAATAATAATTTAGATATTTGTTTTGATAAGAAAATAATATATATATAAATCACTTAAATATTTCTTTAAACTTTTGATGCACCAAATGTAAATCTCTCTTTTCAGAATCCAATTTCTCCTTAAGTTGATAAATTCCTACATGAAAATAATAAATAAGCAATAACATAATTAGATAAATAAAAATACAATAAATAAGCAAATAAATGAAAATACCATAAACATTAATCATAGCTAAATAAAAATACCAGAAACATTAATTAGAGCTAAATAAAAATACATAAATAAAGAAATAACATGAATAAATTAAATTTACAAATGAAAAAAGGAAATATTCAATTTCGGTGACCGACAAACACATACAAATGCCTTTTATAAATGATATCCATAGCCTCTTACTAATTCATTTCCTTATGTGGGATATGGGATATTCACAACCTCTTATTAATTTTCTTGCTGATGTGGGATATGGGATATCCATATCCCCTTGTTGATTATTTAAAAATGAGATATCCAAAATCGATTCGTTTTAATTGTGAACAAATTTGCATACTTTACAAAATGGTCGTATATTTTCAATATGCAATTGAATGTCCATTTTTACTCAAAATGGTTTGAAACTTTGAAAGCCTCCAGTCTTTGAAGTTGCTCCAGAACACTCAATAATGCATACATGTTTAAATATTTACAC